GGGGGGGGGTGTTGGAAGCGGAGTACTGGAGAGAGGAAACGGAGGGAATGTGCAGGGTGTGTGGAAGTGAGTTAGAATCGTGGGAACATGTGCTGGAGAGGTGTGCGTCAGGGAATGGGTGTGAAAGAGAGAGAGCGACTGTGGATAGAGTGAGTGAACTGCTGAATGAAAATGGACGGGGTGCTAAGGGGCTGAGTCGTTTGGAGGGCATGAGGGAGGAAAGAGGGACGGGAAGGGGTGGGTGGCCGGGGGAGGGGAAATTACATGAATTTCGCCAGGCACCCGGGAGCGGAGATCCAGGATGATGAAGGAGGAGAGGGAGGAAGAGAAAAAATTGTAATTAGGTTAAGGATATAAATAGGGCATGTTTGAGGATATAGGTCGGAGAGCGTTTTATTAGAGATAAGGATCTGATGTAAATATAATAAAAGGTTTGTTTGCTTGTAATGGAAATGGAAGTCAAATATAAACGTCCGTAAAAGGAATAAAGGAATATGTATGAATGAAATATATATCAATAATAATAATAGTAATAATAATATAAATAATAATAATATCGAATAAACCGGCTTCAAAAAACGTTACATTGGATTTTTTTTTAAGGGACGATGTCATTGAAAATATTTTGAAGAGAAAAATTCTGGACCCACGGGTGGTTGAGATTCGAAAGGGCTGCTTCAGAATTTATGCTACTTAAGGTTTCCGGTGTTCGCCGTGTTCGTATAATATTTCTAGAGTTCTAGGAATTATCTCGTTTTCTAATCATTCTCGGTGATTTTTGCGATGCATGGATGTACGAAAGAAAATCTTTTTTTCTTTTTTGGAATATGTATTATGCACGTGTGCATCCAGTTTATGTGAAATCTGATCGTGAGTGCGTCAAAACCGCTTTTCTCATGAAAAAGATATTCTAGAGTTTTGAGTTTCTTAAATAATCATTTTTGGGTAATTCAGTAATTGACCAAATAGAAAATAAGATATCTGCTAATTTGGGACTTGTATTAAGTGTTGTTAACACTCGATGGTCGATAAAATAAAGTGGAAAAATTTGCTAGCGCCATCATAAGGCTCTTGGTACACGGGAAGATTTTAATAAGAAAAATTACGATGTAAAAAATATACGTTAATTTTTTTTGGAAATTGGGATTTTGATTTTTTTTTTAATACATTTCTTTATCCAAACATCACGAATTGGAATCGTAAAAAAAAGAGAAAGAAAATTTCGATGTACATATTTTTAAGAAATGTTTTTAGGATCTGAATAATTTGTCAATGGAATAGGGGAAAATATCATTACTTTCTCAAATTTTACGTTTCACATTTGATTTCTTTTTTCCGATAGCTGAAATAAATTGAATACTATGTTCATTTTATGCTGTAATAAAGTAAAATAAATCCATGTTTTTAACGGTTATTCAGGAAAAGAATAACTTAAATTTTCAATAATTTATTGACATTTTTAGTTTTTTACGGAAAACGGGAGAAAAAATATTTACAGCCAAGATATTAACTGTTGCAGCGCTCCTGGATTTTTACATGCGAAATTTCCAGTTTTACGATGTGAACTCACAAAATATCAAAGCAGCGAATGATGTTTACAAATCTGTTATAAGGAAATAAACAGAAGGCTCCATGCTCGTGTTTTTTGTTTCATTGTTTCGTCGCATGACGAAAGATATCGGTCGCGTTCAGTCAACGCCAAGCCATCACAGTTGGCTTTTTTATCCTAAAAAAGAAGAGATTCCCTTCATTATCGGCTCATTATTTTCCCGATGTGAAATTGGTCCTTATCGCGGTAAATGCTCGCATATGTTTCTGACATTTTTAGGTTTTTTTTGGAACGGAATTTGCATTTTCAATATTCTATGATGGCACAATTCTCTGGAATTGACTTCATTTTTCTTCCAACACAATTGGGAATTTTCTTCATCTAGTAATAAAAAAAAAAGGAATTGATTTGGAGCTATTCGTTTTATTTTGAAATTACGATTGACAATAGTAAAATGGCCAAATCCTTCATTATGGTCCACCGTTCTAATTCTACCCATGCAATTTTACGATTCACAAATGTGTAGGGGCGTAACTAATAAATAAACCCTTTCACTATATTAAAGCAGCCTTCAATCAGGGTTGTTAATATGCTCCAGCAATATCTAATTAAATACACATAAATTATGAAACCCATATTTTATTTATTCACTTAAAGTTACTGTTTGATTACCAAATGTGAACATAGAGAAACATCGATTATTCGTGATAAATTAAAAAAATACAAAACATCTTCAAAAGAAATGAATATAAATAGCTTAAACCAAGGCATCAATTACATTTCTTATGAAATGTTGCATTGGTAAGTAAATTAAAAAATGTATCTAAACCTTTTTTGGAAGTAGTAGACAATATTGGCATATACTAAATTAAGATATCATATCTCAAGATATCGTACTTTAAACATTTGCTTAAAATCATATATACATCAGCCCCATTTGCTTAAAAATAATCATCATGAGAAGTTATCAATTTTTTTTGAATACATTAAACATTTTTTGCTTTTAACTAATGAAGTTACATACATGAAAAATATGAAATTTCAAACATATCAAAATTATTCATTATTAGACTTATCTTTATATCAACAAACGATCAGTAAATAATGATTACTAGTTGTTAACTCGGTAATCGTTGGATTGGAACACTTTTCAGGACCAATCGCTGTAAAGCAGGCACAACGCAATTTCATATTTTATATTGCTAAATTAGAATGATTAAATTATCTTCCATATACGCAAAAAAAATTCTGTTGAATGCTAGTTTCCTCTGGTCTTATGTGACTGTGCCTGCTCCAGTGTAGTACAATTTCACTTCAGATTTGAGGAATTAGCCAATAATTTGAAAAACATATTTGGAGTTTGTTTGGCAGCCAGAAGTCGTCACTCTCATTAAAGTTCTCTGTAGAATAATTTTTTAAATAGTAAAATAAGGTGGAGAAAAAAAAGACGAACCTATTTCCTCGTCATCACCCGTGAGCATTTCTCTTATCCTGTATTGTATCATTAAGAATAATTTTCCCCCAACGGTGAGCCTCCTAATTCATTATCTTGTCCTGTAAATTACCCCTCTAATAAGAATTATTTTTTCTAATCGTTACCTCCTAACTTTTCCCCCCTTTTCTTTTTCAGTTTTAGAGCCTTCCCCCTTTTTTTCTTAATATAAGACCCTGTTTATCATTTTGTTAATATTTGTTGAAATGAAAGTTAGAGTTAGTAAATGTTAAATATCCTAGATAACCTCGAATAATTTCTGAATAAACCCTTCCCTCTTTTATGTCAGGTCCTTTCATAAATTATCTTTAAAATTCGCGAATATTAGTGACTTGGTGTGGGATTTTCAATACCGAATCGATTTTCCCGACCAAGCCCCAAATGATCCCCTTCTATGACTGCCAATACAAAATAAACCTGCTTGATTTCGCTGTTCATCTTTATCAAAATCCCCATTTCCTCAAGATCACGTAATTTGGAGAACATTATTTCATTGCCAAAGGTTTTGTAATCCTCGGCTCGGTAAATTTTAGCCAGCAATATTGTTCTCTAACTTACTTGAAAATTGCTTTGCAAGGCTACTAATATTGTAATAAACTCCCTCCAATTTTTTTTTGTCACTGTGAGATCCCAGAGGTTTCCCCGTCGCGAAATCGTCGAAATAGGACAACGGCATGACCAATTTATCAGGAAAATATTCTGCTATTTTTTCCACACAGTACCTTGCATAATTGAAGAAAGTTGTAATTTTTTTCATCAATAAATTTTAGTATTGTCACATTTTTCAAAAGTCGATTTTTTAAAAACCCTGCTCAGTGTGCAGCATAAACTGTATGGATTATATATTTAGAGGACGAGTGAATGTTC